AATTGACAATTTAGACCAAGATTTAAGAGGTCTCGTTGGTCCTGGGTAAGATCATAAGAAGTCAGGTTAAAGTAGCCATCTTTAGGACGAGGGATTTTTAGCTGTCCACCGTTTAGGGATGTTAACTTACGGAGTGTCTTTGTTTCTACAAAAGTTTTATGTTGTTGTTTCAGGTTAAATAGTTCACTGTTGATGGTTTGCTTGAGTTGGATAGGGATGTCGTACTGGGTCCATTTGTTTAACAGATGCTCCACCTGCTCTATAAAGGTTTGGAGGGCTTCCTTCTTCTTGTTTAGTTGATGCCGAATGAGCTCTTGCCTATACCTATAGGTAAACTCTGTATTGCGGACTGCTGGGTCATGTGGGTTTATATTGGTGTATACTGGCAGCAGGTTTTCTTTCAAACATGTTTCATTGAATATGACCGCATATTCTGTATTTATTATTTTCTGGTTTAGGGCTTCTAAACTATTTTCTTAGCATCAGGGCTTAATTGGAATAGGAGTTCTCCAAAACTCATTTCCGTACTTTTAAGGTGAAGAAAAGAAGTGATTTACTATAGAGTGTATTACACTTATTTGTATAATTTGCACGACGTTTCGAACCTCCATGGTTCATTCTCAAGTGAACAGATCTTACAATACTAGTTGATTTATACCCGCATTAGGTCAGGTGATAATACAGTGAAGGTGAAAAACATGGGGGGATACATAAGGGATAAACATAGGGGCTGCAGAAGGCGTATTGGCCCATACGAGGCATCTCCTATCTAAACACAAAGATTAATCCAGTGTAATAATCTTGGGTTTTGTCTATTATGCAAGTATTCTTGTTCAACATTTCTCTTGTTAGAGTAATGTCATGGGCTTGTCTCATGTGATTCCTAGGGGCACCAGATTGAAGATGGTATGTCAAACGCCTCGTCAGCTTGGTCGACGTCATACCTATGTACTTACATTGAAGGTTACATCCTTCGTGGGGGCAAGTGTACATGTATACAACGCTTGACTGCTGTAGAGGGTTCTCCGTCGGCTTCGGGCTGTTTTTGATAAGGAGTTCGGAAGTCTTCTTGGTTTTGTAGAATATTATCAGGTTTATGTTTTGGTTAGGAGTAGTGCTTTTTACTCCTTTACGGATTATTTCTTTCATTATTCTTTCCTCTTTTATATGTTCACTGTGCATGGTTGATTTGTAATATAATTTTATTGGGGGTGTTGTGGTTTCTGTTCTAGGTTCTGAATTATACCAACGGTCCAAGTGTCTTCTTATAGCAGCGTTTATTTCCGCGTTGCTATATCCGTTGTTCACCAATACCTGAGTTACTCTTTCAAACTCTCTACTCACGTTGCTCCATTCAGAGCAGTGGGTAAGCGCTCGACGAATATAAGCATTGAGAACACTGGCTTTGTATCTTTGGGGGCACTCACTTCTACCGTTCGTCGAGCGCTTACCCACTGCTCTGAATGGAGCAACGTGAGTAGAGAGTTTGAAAGAGTAACTCAGGTATTGGTGAACAACGGATATAGCAACGCGGAAATAAACGCTGCTATAAGAAGACACTTGGACCGTTGGTATAATTCAGAACCTAGAACAAAACCACAACACCCCCAATAAAATTATATTACAAATCAACCATGCACAGTGAACATATAAAAGAGGAAAGAATAATGAAAGAAATAATCCGTAAAGGAGTAAAAAGCACTACTCCTAACCAAAACATAAACCTGATAATATTCTACAAAACCAAGAAGACTTCCGAACTCCTTATCAAAAACAGCCCGAAGCCGACGGAGAACCCTCTACAGCAGTCAAGCGTTGTATACATGTACACTTGCCCCCACGAAGGATGTAACCTTCAATGTAAGTACATAGGTATGACGTCGACCAAGCTGACGAGGCGTTTGACATGCCATCTTCAATCTGGTGCCCCTAGGAATCACATGAGACAAGCCCATGACATTACTCTAACAAGAGAAATGTTGAACAAGAATACTTGCATAATAGACAAAACCCAAGATTCAAGAAGATTACAAATTCTTGAGGCAATTCACATAAGAATAGAGCGACCTACCATGAACACCCAAATCACGGAACTATTTACTCTACCCACCATGAGAGTAAGGACAAGACAAGAACATATCGATGCCAACACAGAAGACAATGTCCAACATAACAGGCCAATTACACTGGATTAATCTTTGTGTTAAGATAGGAGATGCCTCGTATGGGCCAATAAGCCTTCTGCAGCCCCTATGTTTATCCCTTATGTATCCCCCCATGTTTTTCACCTTCACTGTATTATCACCTGACCTAATGCGGGTATAAAATCAACTAGTATTGTAAGATCTGTTCACTTGAGAATGAACCATGGAGGTTCGAAACGTCGTGCAAATTATACAAATAAGTGTAATATACTCTATATACATATACCTTAAAAGTACATATATTTATACTATAATATATGCTATATAATATATATATAGATGTATATAAATATATGTATATAATATATATGTATATATATATATATATATATATATATATATATGTATATATATATATATATATATATATATATATATATATATATATATATATATGTCGTACCTAGTAGCCAGAACGCACTTATCAGCCTACAATGCAAGGCCCGATTTGCCTAATAAGCCAAGTTTTCATGAATTAATATGTTTTCTCTAGTTTTTTATCTTACGAAATGATAAAGCTACCCATTCATTATGTGTGAGGTCAATTTTTTTTTAATGGAGTTAAAATTAACGTAGATATATGACCGAGCCTAACCAACCCTACCTAACCTAACCTAACCTATCTTCATAGGTTAGGTTCGGTTAGGTAGCAGAAAAAGTTAGGTTAGGTTAGGTTAGGTAGGTTAGGTAGTCGAAAAACACATTAATTCATGAAAACTTGGCTTATTAGGCAAATCGGGCCTTGAATAGTAGGCTGATAAGTACGTTCTGGCTATTAGGTACGTTGCGAGGCACTACACATCAAGAAGTCAACACCAGCAATCAACAGCCAATTATTGCACAACTATATTCTACCCACCTCAAGACTCCGCTCCAATATAGAAGCATCAAGAAATATGGACCAATAGGCTTTCTACAAACACTTCTATTCAATATCCATTGTTTCGTGTTCTGTCTTGTGTTGATACTTTTAATACCCTATTAATATCCTCTAATGCCACATCATCCTTCCCACCTTACTCAAATGTAATGCCACATCACCCTTCCCACCTCACTCAAATGTAGATATAAAATCAGGGAAACGCAAGTTCTAATCAGTTGTGTATTTGTGAAGTCTTTGAAAATGTAATAAGTTTTACGAAACGCGCCCGTGTCGCGTCAGTCTAGAAATAAAAATGAATTTTGGAGAAGTGATTTTTGATTTACCTCCAACAGTGAAGCATAATGTACGAAAGATTGAGAAAATTCGTGTTAGAATTATTAATCTTACTTTTTCGGTCATATATATATATATATATATATATATATATATATATATATATATATATATATATATATATATATACACATATATATATATATCCTATAGCTAGCATTTTGAATATTTTAATGTATATGTTCATTTGGGGGAGGGGGGGGGGGAATGGGGTTTATGTGATGGTTACTTTAATAAGTGGGTGTAGTGTACAATGTAATTAAAATTTATTTTCACTTTCTATATACAAAATGAAAGATTCAAGTAAGTCAACCTGCATGTGTACACTAGTAAAATACCAATTTTAAATAAATAAATAAAAAGGCAATTATTAATATATTAACAATCTTGTTATGATGTAAAGATTATCAAAACACATATCAAATCAAATATGAAATTAAAAAACAACTAAAACAATTAGAAAGTCAATTTTTTACTCGTTATCCATTAAAATTAATTCTTTAGAAAACCCCTTCAGCTGACATATAGTGCAAAGAATGAGATGATGCAGTAACATGTCAGGTCATGCAAACCTGACATGTGAATTGAATTAATTTTTATATGAATCAGTTCTCACCGACACGTACCGGAGTTATCACAAGTTGTGTGATGTCTTGCTACCTACACAACTCAACGTATTATTATTTACTGGCCCGCACGAATTACTGCATAATCTGTGCCATATACTTTGAGAGATATGTGTCAAATAGCTCTATATAAAACAAGAGCAGTTCATTCCTACAAGTTTACCATTTTAAACCCCACATTCTTACTAAAAACAAGACCCCTCATCCATACCATAGTTTAGACTAACTGTATTTGACTTGCACATACGTTACCCGTTTTCAAAGAATAATAAATTTAGACTTGACTCCCCTAGCTGTTTTCTCGTGGATCACTACAAACTTTTACGTCATTTAACTACAAGATGAAGGAAGCAGCAGCAAGAGAAAAGTATAAATCTAATTAGCTTTTTCACACAGGCTATATTTGGCTAGACAAGAATTAAAGGAATATGAGTAGATGAAAGATTATTTGAAACTTTGGTTCAGAAAATAACTTGTTAATAATAAAACACAGTAACTAATAATAAAACAAAGTAACTTGCTTAACCACCAATTAAGCAAGGAGATAGCTTAAGACTGGCAACAATGAATTCATCCTTAAGCATAACATGGTAGCTGAAGATTGACCGCAAGTGTTCGTTACCTCTTTGTAGAGGTGTCATAAAGAATCTCTAGTTCTTATTACCCCAAAGAGGACACAGCCAGGTGTGCTACACTAATACCCACCACTAACTGCAAGGACACAGCCAGGTGTGCTACACTAACACCCACCAGTAACCGCTGGGAGGACACAGCCAGGTGTGCTACACTAACACCCACCACTAACTGCAGGGAGGACACAGTCAGGTGTCCTACACTAATACCCGCCACTAACCGCAGGGAGGACACAGCCAGGTGTCCTACACTAATACCCGCCACTAACCGCAGGGAGGACACAGCCAGGTGTCCTACACTAATACCCGCCACTAACCGCAGGGAGGACACAGCCGCGTGCGCTATAAGATAGCAGAGGACAGTGACCCGAGACGACAGTTCAGTGTAGATGGGTCGGGGGCGGTCTGGGTTGTGGGCGGCCTGGATCGCGAGACAGCGGCCGCCCACTCGGTGCTGGTGTGGGCGGTGGATGACGGCACCCCTCCCAGGACTGCCACAGCCACCCTAACTGTAAGTACACATGTTTTTCACTGTATCAGCACTGTATGTACACATGTTGTCACTGTATCAGCACTGTAAGTAATAACTTGTCTGTATAAGCACTGTAACAACCAGATGTTTCGTTAGGTTTACATCGTTTTGAATGTCCCTCACTGGCTTCTTTTCCTAATATGCTTCCCAGCTAAAGTGTGTTCTCTCTTACTATTTCTATTTCTCTTACTAATTCTTTGTGCCAAAATGCGTATATATATATATATATATATATATATATATATATATATATATATATATATATATATATATATATATATATATATATTATATTTTAAGATGAATAGGAAAACCAGGGATATACTGAATATCTTGTATCAGAATCTTTACTTTAAAAAACATAACGTTTCGAATACTTCTCGTATTCATCATCAGATCTAAAAGAAAAAACAGAAATCACAATCAAATAGCTGGTAAACAAAGAACTCATACTGAATATAATTGCCTATCAAAGAAAGGAAAATGCTTAAAAAACAAAACACTTAAGCGCACTTAAAGTGATCAATACAAATAAAACTTATTAACTGTCACATATATTAAAACTAATTTAAAATCCATTAAACTACAAGATGAAATTTATAACTACTATTAAACAAACCATTCCATTAAACTTACGTGAAGTGATCAGAAGTGAAACTTGATACCTAGCACATAGATACTAAACACAATAACAAATATTTATATAATGACTACAAATCTCCAAAAAATGTATGTAAAATACACACAGAATAAACGACAATTATAAAGTACTAACCAAAATCTTATAAAAAACTCAAATATTAAATAAAATTAAATACCAAAAAATGTATTATATATCCTAAATAAAAGATTATATTAATGTACAATGTTAAGACTTGAAATAAGCAAGAAAGGGCAAAGACATGGTAAACTAAACAAAATTAAACTACCAAAATAATCTAAAAATCAAATTACAGGGCCTACTGTGCACTATACAGTGTACAATTGAACAGCTGAAAGGTTGCTATTTAATAGAGGCCGCAGCTCCTTTATATATAAGGATTCCATTACTCTCAAATCTGACTGGCCATTCATACAAGTGTCCAGAATTTTAAAATCAGATTCCAGCAGAGAATGATCAAACTCATAACAATGGTTTCTAATCTCCGAAAATGCTGGTTTAGACAATGGTAATCCAGTCCTAAAAGATAATCCCGGTGCTCAAGTATCCTAATCTTAAAGTTCCGAATGGAACTCCCGACATATCCAGCATTACAGCTGGAACAATTATACATATATACGACATTTGAGCACAAGGGGGTAGGCACTTTATCTTTAAATTTAAAATAAGAGCCTATGGTATTTGTGTTGACAAAAATAAATCTAAAGTCTACTTGAGGATAACACTGCTGCAACAGTCTCCTCAAACGACTCCTTACAGAAAAGCTAATACTGCCATAAAATGGTAATTTAATATATTTAAGATCCCTTTCCACTGTAGTAATCCTACACGATGGGTGAAACTTCTTATTTAAGAAATTCCTTATAAAAGTATAAACCATATGCAAAGGATAACCAATTTTTGAAAAAAATTTCACAAGAAAATTAATTTCCTGATCAAAGTTATTCCAATTAGAACATAAAACAAAGGCCCTATTCAGTAGAGTGTTAATTGCATTTTTCTTAAAAATATCAGGAACAAAGGAATTAAAATTTAAACCTAAACCAGTAAACGTTGGTTTCCTAAAAACATTAGTGTTGAAACCATTAAGGTTATTCACTTTTACATCAAGAAACGACAATGAATTATCAACTTCACACTCTGCAGTAAACCGTATATTACTATGTTGTGCATTAAGATACTCTCTAAATTTCTCAATATGACATTGGTCCCTAAACAACAAAAAAGTGTCATCTACATATCTCCTGTACAAGACTGGTTTAAAGGCCGAAGGACAATTATCAAGCCAATTTATTTCGTGAAAACTCAAAAAAACATTAGCCAGTGCAGGACCTAAAGTAGACCCCATTGCTACTCCATCAATTTGTTTATAATAAATATTATTAAACATAAAGATGGAGTCTTTAACTGCTATTTCTAACAGTCGTCTGAATATTTTACTACAAAATTCAGACACTAAGTTAGTTTCGTTGAAGACATCATAAGAAGGAAAGTGAAACGCCATGCAACCTCTGAAGAGACAACTAACACAACACCTATACCCCCTATTAGACTATTTTACAGGAACTTCTTTTCTACAGCTCATAAAATGGAAGAAAGGGTCCTGAAAGATATTGTTAATAGAAACTTTATCCCTAGAGACAAAAATCAGAAGATACAACTGACGATTTACTATAAAACCAAAAAAACGGCCAGCCTACTCATGAGAAACTCTCCAGACACAAAGCAGAACGCTTTAAAAGAGACCAACGTCGTCTATGCCTTTAAATGCCCTCTTGGGGACTGTAAGCCTCAAAAAACTCAGTATATAGGCAAGACAACAACATCTCTTTCCAGGCGTTTAACGATGCATAAGCAACAGGGCTCCATTAAGGAACATATGATCTCTTCCCAGAACCAAACCATCACCAGAGAAATCTTAGCAAACAACACAGAAATCATCGATAGATACAGCGATAGCAGGCGGCTTGACATCTGCGAGGCACTACACATCAAGAAGTCAACACCAGCAATCAACAGCCAATTAATGCACAACTATATTCTACCCACTTCAAGACTCCGCTCCAATATAGAAGCATCAAGAAATATGGGCTAATAGGCCCTCTGCAATTACTTCCATTCTTACCTTCAATACCCATTATTTCGTGTTCTGTCTTGTGTTGAAAGTTTGTTTTCACCTCATCCAAAACTGTTGTAACATATCACCTCACCCAAATGCAGGTATAAAAAATAGAAGATGTTTAAGCTCTATTCAGTTATAGTTTAGATGTGTGTGTGTAAACTAAAGTCTTCGAAAATGTAATAAGTTTTACGAAACGCGCTCAAGTGTTGCGTCAGACTAGAAATAAAAATGAATTTTGGAGAATTGATTTTTCAATTACCATCAACAGTGAAAAGATAAGTGATAAGAAAGATCGAGAAAATTCGTGATAGAATTATTAATTTTACTTTTTCGGTCATATTTAATAATATATGTCTACAGGAAAGACTGCTACCAAAATATACTAATATACTATATATATATATATATATATATATATATATATATATATATATATATATATATATATGCGAACAAGCCTGAATGGTCCCCAGGACATATGCAACTGAAAACTCACACCCCAGAAGTGACTCGAACCCATACTCCCAGAAGCAACGCAACTGGTAGGTACAAGACGCCTTAATCCACTTGACCATCACGACCGGACATAATGAGGTGATAGCCGAGGCTATATGAATGAGGTGATTTGGTAAAATGCTATGCCCAAGATAACTATCCGAGTGCCGGCGGTGGGGTGGTTCATATAGCCTCGGCTATCACCTCATTATGTCCGGTCGTGATGGTCAAGTGGATTAAGGCGTCTCGTACATACCAGTTGCGTTGCTTCTGGGAGTATGGGTTCGAGTCACTTCTGGGGTGTGAGTTTTCAGTTATATATATATATATATATATATATGTATATATATATATATATATATATATATATATATATATATATATATATATATATATATATATATATATATATTATATATATATATATATATATATATATATATATATATATATATATATATATATATATATATATATATATATATATAGATAGATATATATCTATCTATATATATATATATATATATATATATATATATATATATATATATATATATATTTATATAATATGGCAATGTCAGACTACGAAGGAAGAATTAAGGCAGGAATTTCCGTAAGTACTTACGTATTTAATTAATAATACTTCTTCAGAAGTGTTAATCCTTCTATATGACGCTGTAAGTACACAACTTGTCACTGTCTCGGCACGGAAAGTACACAACTTGACACTGCCTCAACACTGCAAGTACACAACTTGACATTGTCTCGGCATTGTAAGTACACAACTTGTCACTGTCTTTGGAATGTCGTTATATCCATGGAGGGATGGTCAACCATATGCCTGAAGATGACCTCACCCTGGCTGGGTGCTCTTCCTGCAGGTGAACGTGACGGACGTGAACGACAACCCGCCGTTCCTGGCGGTGCCGCGGGAGGTGGAGGTGGTGGAGAACGGCGGGGCCCAGGTGGTGGCCCGGGTGAGGCTTGGAGACCTTGACGACTGGCGCCAGGGCCACGGGCCGCCCTTCACCGTAGCCCTCGACCCCAGGGCGCCCCAGCACGTCCTCGACTACTTTAGGGTCACCCACGACAAGAGTGAGTTGTCAGAGGTCACCCACGACAAAGAGTTAGCTGTCAGGGGCAACCAGAGATAATTATCAGGAGAAAGCACTAAGCCATTATGACAAAAGCGGCCATCAGAATGTCACAAAAAATCACATGTCAATAGACAACATATCAGTTGATCAAATCTCCATTTTATCTATCTATCTATCTATCTATCTATCTATCTATCTATCTATCTATCTATCTATCTGTATATATATATATATATATACATTTGTATATATATCTATCTATCTATCTATCTGTATATATATATATATATATATATATATATATATATATATATATATATATATATATATATATATATATGTATATATATATATATATATATATATATATATATATATATATATATATATATATATATATATATATATATATATATATATATATATATATATATATATATATATATATATATATATATATATATATATATATATATATATATATATATATATATATATATATATATATATATATATATATATATATATATATATATATATATATATATATATATATATATATATATATATATATATATATATATATATATATATATATATATATATATGTGTATATATATATATATATATATGTCGTACCTAGTAGCCAGAACTCACTTTTTGGCCTACTATTCAAGGCCCGATTTGCCTAATAAGCCAAGTTTTCCTGAATTAATATATTTTTTCTAATTTTTTTCTTATGAAATGATAAAGCTACCCATTTCATTATGTATGAGGTCAATTGTTTTTTATTGGAGTTAAAATTAACGTAGATATATGACCGAACCTAACCAACCCTACCTAACCTAACCTAACCTATCTTTATATGTTAGGTTAGATTAGGTAGCCGGAAAAGTTAGGTTAGGTTAGGTTAGGTAGGTTAGGTAGTCGAAAAACAATTAATTCATGAAAACTTGGCTTATTAGGCAAATCGGGCCTTGCATAGTAGGCTGAGAAGTGCATTCTGGCTACTAGGTACGACATATATATATATATATATATATATATATAAATATATATATATATATATATATATATATATATATATATATATATATATATATATATATATATATATATATATATATATATTAGCCAATTCACTGACCAGAGACAGTGTTCCCAATGGTAATATTGTTGATTATATTCAGGGGCAGAGAGAGAATTTCGAGGAGAGATTTACTGTTCTTTTCAGCCAAGCTTTCGTGGCACACATAGAACGTTCACTCCCGAGAGCATTAGTGCAGGATTAATCAAAACCTCTGCTTACCTTTCTGGGCATCATTTATGTAATACTCTCTCTCTCTCTGGTGCTATTGCAGCTGCTAGTGGTAGTGGTGGTGGTGGTAGTTGTGATGGAGGTAGAGATGGTGGTGGTCCTGCAGTGGTGCAGGTTACAGGGCTGCAGGTGGTGGTGGTGGTAATAGTAATAGTTGTTAGGGGTGCTGGTGGTAATGGTTGTCGGGTTGCTGGTGGTGGTGGAGGTGATATGTATGGGGCTGGCGGCAGTGACCGGCGACAGCAGCAGTGAAGGCAGCGGTGCTCTCCACACCATCAACGCTGCTCGGCCCGATACGCAAATCTGAAGGACTTACTCTGGACTTTAGTGATTATGGGTTTGTCGTCTGAAACAGTTTGTTGGCATATTGAGGGCGTAATCCGGGCGTGTGTGTGTGTGTGTCTGAGCCTGGATATGGCCATTGAATTATTGCTGTTGTTGATACAGTATGCTCCTTTATGTTCTTCTTCAAAGGAATACGAATGGCGTGGCCGTACTAGCCGGTGGTATATTAACCACTGAATTCTCCTGCAGGAGGGGACGAGGGGCGTGGCGTGGGCGTGGTGTGGGCGCGGGCGGGGCTAGACAGGGAGGAGCGGCGCTCCCTGCTGGTGCCGCTAGTGGTGGCGGACGCCGGCTGGCCGCCCCTCTCCGCCACCGCCACCCTCACCGTCCATGTGGGCGACCTCAACGACAACCCCATGACCCCCGCCGCCAAGACTGTCACTGTCCACACCCTCCAGGTCAGTGCCACCCTCCAAGTCACTGCCTCCCTACAGGTCAGTCACTGTCCACACCCTGCAGGTCAGTGTCACCCTCCAGGTCACTGCCACCCTACAGGTCAGTGTCACCCTCCAGGTCACTGCCACCCTACAGGTCACTGCCACCCTACAGGTCAGTCACTGTTCACACCCTCCAGGATAGTGTCACCCTCCAGGTCACTGCCACCCTACAGGTCAGTCACTGTTCACACCCTCCAGGTTAGTGCCACCCTCCAAGTCACTGCCACCCTCCAAGTCACTGCCACCCAACAGGTCAATCACTGTTCACACCCTCCAGGTTAGTGCCACCCGCCAGGTCAGTGCTACTTTTTCAGGCTATAGTCACAGTCTACTCCCTCCAGGTCAGGGCCACCCTCCAAGTCTAGTTCCCTTCTTATCTTGAGGTTATCTTGAGATGATTTCGGGGCTTTTAATGTCCCCGCGGCCCGGTCCTCGACCAGGCCTCCACCCCCAGGAAGCAGCCCGTGACAGCTGACTAACTCCCAGGTACCTATTTACTGCTAGGTAACAGGGGCATTCAGGGTGAAAGAAACTTTGCCCATTTGTTTCTGCCTCGTGCGGGAATCGAACCCGGGCCACAGAATTACGAGTCCTGCGCGCTATCCACCAGGCTACGAGGCCCCTACGAGGCTCCAGGCTATAGTTACTGTCCACACCCTTCAGATCAGTGCCGCCCTGCTGGTCAGTGCCACCCTCCAGGCTACAGTTACTTTCTACACCCTCCAGGTCAGTGCCACCCTCCAGGCTACAGTCACTGTCCACACCCTGCAGAGAAATGTCATCCTACAGGCTGTTCATTACCCATACCCCTGCAGGTCAGTGTCACCCTGCAGACACTGCCCACACCGTCAGGTAAGTCTCTGTTGTCACTTTCCTTCTATGAGTCACTGGGTTGGTACTGAAGGAACTTCAGTACCAACTTATTGGACCTCAAACTCACCGTCATCTCCCTCCTCCCGATCCCAACCACTTGGGCTGGACGGTAGAGCAACGGTCTCGCTTCATGCAGGTCGGCGTTCAATCTCCGACCGTCCAAGTGGTTGGGCACCATTCCTTTCCCTTCGTCCCAGCTCAAATCCTTATCCTGACCCCTTCCAAGTGCTATATAGTCGTAATGGCTTGAGGCCTTACCCCTGATAATTCCCTCCCCCCTTCCCCCAACCGGTCGTCCAGAGGATGACTGAATCTCAGTCGGACATCAACAACTTGAAATAAGTGTACTGTAATCTCCAACCATTGACGGGGCCTGACAGCTGAGTGGACAGGGCTTCGGATTCGTAGTTCTGAGGTTCCGGGTACGATCCCAGGCGATAGTGGAAACAAATGGGCAGAGTTTCTTTCACCCTGTTGCATCTGTATATCTAGCAGTAAACAGGTACCTGAGAGTTAGACAGCTGCTACGGGCTGCTTCCTGGGGGGTTGTAACAAAAAGGAGGCTAGGTAGAGGACCGGGCCGCGGGGGACGCTAATCCCCGAAATCCTTTCAAAATAACCACAAGATAGCCATTATAATTTGTCTACACTCAGTTGGGCCTTTAATGAATGGCCACTGAAACAATGGGGAGGTTACGTACTCACATTATTATTTTTTTTTGTACAACTCATATTGGCTCTTTAACTGGAATAACATTAGGCGGTGACACTGTGGGTCTCGTCAACACTCCGAAAAATGGTCAGTTTAAGGGCCCACTGTTTCAGAAGTAACACTGAAAATGTACAAGAGCTATTAGCTTCACCCAAAATGCGTTTCTGCATTCTTCCAACACTGTGTATACAGTTGCATTAACATAGTTCCTCAAACCTTCACTGTCAAACTTTTTTTTGTAACTAGGAGTGCTACATCCCCTCCCTGTATTTGTAACCTATATTTTTGTAATGGCTAGTAATCTCCTGAAAATATTACATCTGAGATGATATTATTTATCTTGGTTACCAATACTGCAATAATACTCTGAATTTTTTCTCAAACTCTCTTTTATTTCCTCAGTTTTATTTGTAACTCCAACAGTATTTGTAAACTATTTCTTAAGGCATTCATTGAACACGATATTACCTGTGTTCTCAACAAATAATTTTTAATGTGTTTCTACTGGTGTGAGATGTAAATGAGAAGTTAGATTAAGTACTGGTTGTGATGATAAGTTGATGGTTAGAGAGGAATTGATGCAAGTACGAGGGTGGGCGCTGAACGGCTGTAGAGGGGTGATGGGCCGGTGGGGGAGGGGTTATCTTGAGGTTATCTTGAGATGATTTTGGGGCTTTACTGTCCTCGCGGCCCGGTCTTCGACCAGACCTCCACCCCCAGGAAGCAGCCCGTGACAGCTGACTAACACCCAGATACCTATTTTACTGCTAGGTTACAGGGGCATAGGGTGAAAGAAACTCTGCCCATTGTTTCTCTCCGGCGCCCGGGATCGAACTCGGGACCACAGGATCACAAGTCCAGTGTGTGCTGTCCGCTCGGCCGACCGGCTCCGGACCGTGGGGGTCAGAGAGTGAATCTCGAGGAGAGGTAGGCTGAGGGCCAAGTGAGGGCTGTATGTGAGTGTGTGTGTGTATTTACTGTTCCTATTTACTATGTGTGTTTACAGGATCCAGCTCGTGGCTCTGCATCCCGCCCTTCTAACCGTCGGTTGTCGTGTGTAACGTCTCACGACATAATTGTTCCTCATCGGCTACTACATAAATTGTTATCTTACTTATATATATGCATCCCCAGGATGCAGGCCGCAGCAGCTGACTAACTCCAAGGTAACTATATACAGATAGGTGAAGAGCAGAATTAGGTGAAATACTCTTCCCATTTGTGTTTATTCTTGTTAATAAATGCGTGTGTTCGTGTATATGCGTGTGTGTAGTTACTATGAGCATTTACAGTTTGTGCCGTTAAGATCGAGGTGTCAGCTCTTGGACCCCGCCTTTCTTACTCCAGACTTATTTTTCCTCTATCACACACACACACAAATACCCACGATGTAGCCCGAACGAGCGGTCTTATTCTTATGTACCTATTTACTGCTAGGTGAACAGGGGGCTTCAGGTGAAAGAAACATTTCCCGTCTGTTTCTTCCTCTACAGGGAATTGAACCCGGGCCCATGGACTACGATCCCTGAGCGATGACTGTGTGTGCATGTGTATGTGTGTGTGTGTGAGAATTCACTACGAAGTGAAATAAAAAATAACAGGAATGCCAGCGCCCCAGAGAAGAGTGTCACACTCACCTTCCTCTCTCTCCCCCAGCCACAGGGGATACCTGGTTGATACCTGGTTGATGGGGTTCTGGGAGTTCTTCTACTCCCCAAGCCCGGCCCGAGGCCAGGCTCGACTTGTGAGAGTTTGGTCCACCAGGCTGTTGCTTGGAGCGGCCCGCAGGCCCACATACCCACCACAGCCCGGTTGGTCCGGCACTCCTTGGAGGAATAAATCTAGTTTCCTCTTGAAAATGTCCACGGTTGTTCCGGCAATATTTCTTATGCTTGCTGGGAGGACGTTGAACAACCGCGGACCTCTGATGTTTATACAGTGTTCTCTGATTGTGCCTATGGCACCTCTGCTCTTCATTGGTTCTATTCTACATTTTCTTCCATGTCGTTCACTCCAGTACGTTGTTATTTTACTGTGTAGATTTGGTACTTGGCCCTCCAGTATCTTCCAGGTGTATATTATTTGATATCTCTCCCGTCTTCTTTCTAGTGAGTACATTTGGAGGGCTTTGAGACGATCCCAATAATTTAGGTGCTTTATTGCATCTTTGCGTGCCGTATATGTTCTCTGTATTCCCTCTATTTCAGCAATCTCTCCTGCTCTGAAGGGGGAAGTGAGTACTGAGCAGTACTCCAGACGGGACAACACAAGTGACTTGAAGAGTACAACCATTGTGATGGGATCCCTGGATTTGAAAGTTCTCGTAATCCATCCTATCATTTTTCTGGCTGTCGCAATATTTGCTTGGTTATGCTCCTTAAACGTTAGGTCGTCAGACATTATTATTCCCAAATCCTTTACATGCTGTTTTCCTACTATGGGTACATTTGATTGTGTTTTGTACTCTGTATTATGTTTAAGGTCCTCATTTTTACCGTACCTGAGTACCTGGAATTTATCACTGTTAGACATGTTATTTTCTGATGCCCAGTCGAAAACTTTATTAATATCAGCTTGAAATTTTTCAATGTCCTCAGCCGAGGTAATTTTCATACTGATTTTTGTGTCATCTGCAAAGGATGATACGAAGCTGTGACTTGTATTTTTGTCTATATCTGATATGAGAATAAGGAAAAGCAGCGGTGCAAGGACTGTACCCTGAGGTACAGAGCTTTTCACTGCACTTGGACTAGATTTTATATGGTTGACAGTTACTCGCTGAGTCCTGTTTGACAGAAAACTGAGTATCCAGCGTCCTACTTTACCGGTTATTCCCATTGACTTCATTTTGTGTGCTATCACGCCATGGTCACATTTATCGAAAGCCTTTGCGAAGTCCGTGTATATCACATCAGCATTCTGTTTCTCTTCTAATGCCTCAGTGACTTTGTCGTAGTGCTCAAGTAGCTGTGAGAGGCACGATCTTCCCGCTCGAAATCCATGTTGGCCTGGGTTGTGAAGGTCATTGGTCTCCATAAAATTGGTGACCTGACTCCTAATCACTCTCTCAAATACTTTTATGATGTGCGATGTTAGTGCAACTGGTCTATAATTTTTTGCCAATGCTTTGCTCCCTCCCTTGTGTAGAGGGGCTATGTCTGCTACTTTAAGTGCATCTGGTATCTCCCCCGTGTCCAAGCTCTTCCTCCACACTATACTGAGTGCCTGTGCTACCGGCACTTTGCATTTCTTTATAAATATTGAATTCCATGAGTCTGGACCTGGGGCCGAGTGCATGGGCATGTTTTCAATTTCCTTTAAAAATTTAGTGCGCTCGTGTTTATATCAGTTATATTTACAGGGGTTTGAATATCCCGCATAAAGAAATTGTCTGGATTTTCCACCTTCATGTTGTTTATTGTAGTGCTAAACATGTCCTTATACTGCTTTTTTAGGATTTCACTAATTTCTTTGTCATCCTCCGTGTATGAACCTTCACTTGTACGAATAGGTCCAATACTGGCAGTGGTTTTTGCTTTTGATTTCGCATATGAGAAGAAATATTTTGGATTTTTCTTTATTTCCTGAATTGCTTTCTGTTCTAACTGCCTTTCTTCAGTTTCATATAAGTGTTTCAATTTCCGCTCGATTTCTTCAATCTCCCTATTTAAATTATTCCTTCTTTGACGGGAAATTCGTGTCTGCATAAGCAGTTCCGTTATTTTTTTCCTGCGTTTATAGTGTCGTCTGCGTTCTCTTTCTACGTTAAATCTCTTTCTGGCTTTCCTCAAAGGAACATGTTTCAGACAGACTTGATACGCTTCTGAAGTCAGTTTTTCTATTCCTTCTGTAGGACTTGTATTATTTAGAACAGTTCCCCATGGAATGTTTGTAAGTTCCCTGTTTATTATCTCCCAGTCTATCCTTTTATTATTAAAATTGAATTTACTGAATAGCCCCTCTCGCTTTATCAACGTTTTAGGTCTATTCTGAGTATTGATGGTCGTTTGCACTTCAATGAGTTTGTGATCTGAGTATGTGGTATCTGATATCGTAATGTCTCTGATAATGTCTTCATTGTTCGTAAAGACCAGATCTAGAATATTTTCATTTCTCGTTGGCTCCGATATCTGCTGATTGAGTGAAAATTTGTCACAGAATCTAAGTAGTTCTCTAATCTGTGGTTGGTTAGGTCCTGATAGATTTCCTGGTATAATATTATTGTTTGCTATTTTCCACCTGAGACTAGGCAAGTTGAAGTCACCTAGGAAGATAATATCAGGTATCGGGTTCTCCAAATTATCAAGGCTATTCTCTATTTTGCTTATCTGTTCTGTGAATTCCTCAGCCGTTGCATCTGGCGGTTTGTATATTAGTATAATCACTAAATTTATTTTATCTATTTTTAATCCCAGTACCTCTACCACCTCATTTGTAACGTTTAGGAGCTCCGAGCATACAAGGTCTTCCCTAATATACAGACCCACTCCTCCATGTGACCTAATTTTCCTATCACACCTGTACAGGTTATATCCTGGAATCCAGATCTCACTGTCCAACAATTCCCCTGCATGGGTTTCTGTGAAAGCTCCAAATACTGCCTTTGACTCCGTGAGGAGGCCATTTATGAACTGTACTTTGTTGTTTGTTCTTGTTTTCAGTCCTTGTATGTTGGCAAAGATGAATGAGGTTACTCTATTAGTGATAGTTTGAATGGGAGACTTTTTCGGCAAGTCCATTAATCGTGGACATAATGAGTTTGTTCTGACCAGTACTGATTGTTGTAGGGCAGTTTTCTGTCGTAGTTGTAGTTCCCTTTCGGTGGGTAATTGTATCTGTAATTCTGGAGTGCAAGTGGATCTGGCATCCAGTTCCATACACTCTCCATGCTGCTCCTTTTGAATTCTCTGCCGGTCTGGTATAAAAAATTTATAGAGTTTCCTCCAAATTCATTATCCTGCTTGCCACTCTTTATGTAGCGTTCCGTGCCTTTCACGTGAAAGTGTGGGCAGCTAAGGTCATAGCATTTTCTGTCCTCCAGTGAGGTTTGGCACATGTCAGGATGGAAAAACCTACATATTGATCCAAATCGACACTCACCTTTCCTAAGCATATTTAAAAAAAATTTGGGATGTTGGTAACTGCATTCTAATCCTTTCTTATTACCAGCATATCTATGTCTGCATATGCCCTTTGCATAAAATTTGCATAAGTCTGTCCTTCTGTTCTGAATTGCTCTATCGAGAACCGTCGTGGTGTCTGTACCTATCGAGCTGTCAGTGCTGTCTGGTACACTTTCTAGTTTACTGTCATCTACATCCTGGCCTACTGAGTCAGCGTTTACAACTTCCTGAGTTTCAGCCTCAGTTTCATCCCTGACTATAGCCTCCGCCCCTGGTATATTAGGATTGTTGTTCCTTTCCCACTCCTTCTGGATGGCTGGCAGGCTTCCAATGAATGATGTTTTCCGTTCATGCGTCATGTTATCTAGAAGGTTTTTTAGGATATTCCAAGCTGGCAGGTCATTTTTACACACCCAGAGCAAGTGGCCATCTCTCAGTGCCGTAGTGTTACTCACTCCTGTACAAGCTGAATGGAATCTAGTCTTACAGATATAACATTCAATTCCCGTTGCCTTCGTCTTTAAGAAGTTGTTACAGTGGCCACAAATTTGTTTATTCACTCCCATATTGCCTTGTTTTGTTGTATATATCTATATATTTATAATATTATATGTATATTGTATATTTGTAACAATATATATGTATATATACTTATATGTTTAATATTATAATATTATATGTATATCGTATATTTGTAATATTATGTGTGTTATTTTGTTCAAACTTTATGGCAGGTACTTAGCGTAGGTAGCGAGGCTGGTCCCCCGGTCAGTACAGGTGACCTCTTGTGGCCCAGGTTGATGTCACCAGTTTCCAGTTACCCGATTTATAACCACTGATGCCGCCTCTTGCCACTGTTCTATAATTCTAGTATTCTATATTTATAATATTCACTTCCAACTTATATGTTGTTGTGATACCCGTTCCACATCACTGTTCCACGAATCACCGTTCACTCACCGGGGAGGCCTCTGCCCCTGGGGAGAGTGTCACTCTCGCCTTCCTCTCTCTCCCCCAGCCACAGGGGAGGCCGGTGCCCCTGGGGAGAGTGTCACTCTCACCTTCCTCTCTCTCCCCCAGCCACAGGGGAGGCCGGTGCCCCTGGGGAGAGTGTCACTCTCACCTTCCTCTCTCTCCCCCAGCCACAGGGGAGGCCGGTGCCCCTGGGGAGAGTGTCACTCTCACCTTCCTCTCTCTCCCCCAGCCACAGGGGAGGCCGGTGCCCCTGAGAAGAGTGTCACTCTCACCTTCCTCTCTCTCTCCCAGCCTCAGGGGAGGCCTCTGCCCCTGGGGAGAGTGTCACTCTCACCTTCCTCTCTCTCCCCCAGCCTCAGGGGAGGCCGGTGCCCCTGGGGAGAGTGTCACTCTCACCTTCCTCTCTCTCCCCCAGCCACAGGGGAGGCCGGTGCCCCTGAGAAGAGTGTCACTCTCACCTTCCTCTCTCTCCCCCAGCCTCAGGGGAGGCCTCTGCCCCGGGGGAGAGTGTCACTCTGACCTTCCTCTCTCTCCCCCAGCCACAGGGGAGGCCGGTGCCCCTGGGGAGAGTGTTCGTCCAGGACCCCGACGACTGGGACGCCGCCGCCAAGATGTACTCCTGGAGACACCATCTGTCTGGCTTCTTCCTTGACACTGACACCGGCGGCCTCACTATGGCCCCCGACACTCCTGACGGCCGGTAGGTGAAGGTTCCCTTCCCACCTGGAGGTAGGTAGGTGAAGGTTCCCTTCCACCTGGAGGTAGGTAGGTGACGGTTCCCTTCCACCTGGAGGTAGGTAGGTGACGGTTCCCTTCCCACCTGGAGGTAGGTAGGTGAAGGTACCCCTCCACCTGGAGGTAGGTAGGTGAAGGTTCCCTTCCCACCTGGAGGTAGGTAGGTGAAGGTTCCCTTCCCACCTGGGGGTAGGTAGGTGAAGGTTCCCTTCCCACCTGGACGTAGGTAGGTGAAGGTTCCCTTCCACCTGGAGGTAGGTAGGTGAAGGTTCCCTTCCCACCTGGAGGTAGGTAGGTGAAGGTTCCCTTCCACCTGGAGGTAGGTAGGTGAAGGTTCCCTTCCACCTGGAGGTAGGTAGGTGAAGGTTCCCTTCCCACCTGGAGGTAGGTAGGTGAAGGTTCCCTTCCCACCTGGAGGTAGGTAGGTGAAGGTTCCCTTCCACCTGGAGGTAGGTAGGTGAAGGTTCCCTTCCCACCTGGAGGTAGGTTGGTGAAGGTTCCCTTCCCACCTGGAGGTAGGTAGGTGAAGGATCCCTTCCACCTGGAGGTAGGTAGGTGAAGGTTCCCTTCCACCTGGGGGTAGGTAGGTGAAGGTTCCCTTCCACCTGCAGGTAGGTTGGTGAAGGTTCCCTTCCACCTGGAGGTAGGTAGGTGAAGGTTCCCTTCCCACCTGGAGGAAGGTAGGTGAAGGTACCCTTCCACCTGGAGGTAGGTAGATGAAGGTTCCCTTCCACCTGGGGGTAGGTAGGTGAAGGTTCCCTTCCACCTGCAGGTAGGTTGGTGAAGGTTCCCTTCCACCTGGAGGTAGGTAGGTGAAGGTTCCCTTCCCACCTGGAGGTAGGTAGGTGAAAATTCCCTTCCACCTGGAGGTAGGTAGGTGAAGGTTCCCTTCCACCTGGAGGTAGGTAGGTGAAGGTTCCCTTCCACCTGGAGGTAGGTAGGTGAAGGTTCCCTTCCACCTGGGGGTAGGTAGGTGAAGGTTCCCTTCCACCTGCAGGTAGGTTGGTGAAGGTTCCCTTCCACCTGGAGGTAGGTAGGTGAAGGTTCCCTTCCACCTGGAGGTAGGTAGGTGAAGGTTCCCTTCCACCTGGAGGTAGGTAGGTGAAGGTTCCCTTCCCAACTGGAGGTAGGTAGGTGAAGGTTCCCTTCCACCTGGAGGTAGGTAGGTGAAGGTTCCCTTCCACCTGGAGGTAGTTAGGTGAAGGTTCCCTTCCCACCAGGAGGTAGGTAGGTGAAGGTTCCCTTCCCACCAGGAGGTAGTTAGGTGACGGTTCTCTTCCCACCTGGAGGTAGGTAGGTGAAGGTTCCCTTCCACCTGGAGGTAGATAGGTGAAGGTTCCCTTCCACCTGGGGGTAGGTAGGTGAAGGTTCCCTTCCCAGCTGGAGGTAGGTAGGTGAAGGTTCCCTTCCACCTGGAGGTAGGTAGGTGAAGGTTCCCTTCCACCTGGAGGTAGGTAGGTGAAGGTTCCCTTCCCACCTGGGGGTAGGTAGGTGAAGGTTCCCTTCCCAGCTGGAGGTAGGTAGGTGAAGGTTCCCTTCCACCTGCAGGTAGGTTGGTGAAGGTTCCCTTCCACCTGGAGGTAGGTAGGTGAAGGTTCCCTTCCCACCTGGAGGTAGGTAGGTGAAGGTTCCCTTCCACCTGGAGGTAGGTAGGTGAAGGTTCCCTTCCACCTGGAGGTAGGTAGGTGAAGGTTCCCTTCCACCTGGAGGTAGGTAGGTGAAGGTTCCCTTCCACCTGGAGGTAGGTAGGTGAAGGTTCCCTTCCACCTGGAGGTAGGTAGGTGAAGGTTCCCTACCACCTGGAGGTAGTTAGGTGAAGGTTCCCTTCCACCTGGAGGTAGGTTGGTGAAGGTTCCCTTCCACCTGGAGGTAGGTAGGTGAAGGTTCCCTTCCACCTGGAGGTAGGTAGGTGAAGGTTCCCTTCCACCTGGAGGTAGGTAGGTGAAGGTTCCCTTCCCACCTGGAGGTAGGTAGGTGAAGGTTCCCTTCCCACCTGGAGGTAGGTAGGTGAAGGTTCCCTTCCCACTGGAGGTAGGTAGGTGAAGGTTCCCTTCCCACCTGGAGGTAGGTAGGTGAAGGTTCCCTTCCCACCTGGAGGTAGGTAGGTGAAGGTTCCCTTCCCACCTGGAGGTAGGTAGGTGAAGGTTCCCTTCCCACCTGGAGGTAGGTAGGTGAAGGTTCCCTTCCCACCTGGAGGTAGGTAGGTGAAGGTTCCCTTCCACCTGAGGTAGGTAGGTGAAGGTTCCCTTCCCACCTGGAGGTAGGTAGGTGAAGGTTCCCTTCCACCTGGAGGTAGGTAGGTGAAGGTTCCCTTCCCACCTGGAGGTAGTTAGGTGAAGGTTCCCTTCCACCTGCAGGTAGGTAGGTGAAGGTTCCCTTCCCACCTGGAGGTAGTTAGGTGAAGGTTCCCTTCCCACCTGGAGGTAGGTAGGTGAAGGTTCCCTTCCCACCTGGAGGTAGGTAGGTGAAGGTTCCCTTCCCACCTGGAGGTAGGTAGGTGAAGGTTCCCTTCCACCTGGAGGTAGGTAGGTGAAGGTTCCCTTCCCACCTGGAGGTAGGTAGGTGAAGGTTCCCTTCCCACCTGGAGGTAGGAAGGTGAAGGTTCCCTTCCCACCTGGAGGTAGGTAGGTGAAGGTTCCCTTCCACCTGGAGGTAGGTAGGTGAAGGTTCCCTTTCACCTGGAGGTAGGTAGGTGAAGGTTCCCTTCTCACCTGGAGGTAGGTAGGTGAAGGTTCCCTTCCCACCTGAAGGTAGGAAGATGAAGATTCCCTTCCAACCTGGAGGTAGGTAGGTGAGGGTTCCCTTCCCACCTGGAGGTAGGTAGGTGACGGTTCCCTTCCCACCTGGAGGTAGGCAGGTGACAGTTCCCTTCCTTCCTGGAGGTAGGTAGGTGACGGTTCCCTTCCCACCTGGAGGTAGGTAGGTGAAGGTTCCCTTCCCACCTGGAGGTAGGTAGGTGAAGGTTCCCTTCCCACCTGGAGGTAGGTAGGTGAAGGTTCCCTTCCCACCTGGAGGTAGGTAGGTGACGGTTCCCTTCCCACCTGGAGGTAGGTAGGTGAAGGTTCCCTTCCCACCTGGAGGTAGGTAGGTGAAGGTTCCCTTCCCACCTGGAGGTAGGTAGGTGAAGGTTCCCTTCCCACCTGGAGGTAGGTAGGTGAAGGTTCCCTTCCCACCTGGAGGTAGGTAGGTGAAGGTTCCCTTCCCACCTGGAGGTAGGTAGGTGAAGGTTCCCTTCCCACCTGGAGGTAGGTAGGTGAAGGTTCCCTTCCACCTGGAGGTAGGTAGGTGAAGGTTCCCTTCCCATCTGGAGGTAGGTAGGTGAAGGTTCCCTTCCCACCTGGAGGTAGGTAGGTGAAGGTTCCCTTCCACCTGGAGGTAGGTAGGTGAAGGTTCCCTTCCCACCTGGAGGTAGGTAGGTGAAGGTTCCCTTCCCACCTGGAGGTAGGTAGGTGAAGGTTCCCTTCCCACCTGGAGGTAGGCAGGTGAAGGAAGGAAGGTGAAGGCTGGCAGTTATTTGTATTTTAAGTACATGGACGGAGCATTTAGTGCGGTGAGATTCGACAACGGGTAAAAAGGAAATACTATCCAAGACGAATTTGAACCTAACGAGTTGTGTGTCAAATGTAAATGATCCTTATTCACAAACAGGGAGTTTTACTGCTGTATTAATGAGTATTTGAACGTTATTCCTGAGGTCGGGTTGGACTTGTGCTCCATTTGTTGGTCTAGACTATCAGTTAAAGAAAGGTAAGATAGGAAAGAAACTGTCTCTTCTTTGTTTATTGTTTTCAAGGGAACACGTATCATGTCCATCAGGTACGAGCTAAGCTTCAAGGTCAACGACGTCAGCCAAGGTCAATTTGGGGTCAGGGCCAACGTCACAGTCGAGGTGAAGTCCCTAAACCACCATGACGTCACACACGCCACCCCGCTTACCTTGGCGGCGAACCCCTACCAGCTGGTCATGGCCAGAGAGGTACGTTTAAGAGAGTATGGTTCAGACACAGAAACTGAAGACAGACGAAAACAGACTATTAAACAAAGAGAAACAGAAGGAGATATAGACAGACGAAGACATGCACACCGGAGTGACAGACGAACAAGATTCGTATAGTGCTACATAGCCTTCCAGGCTTGGTGCCTTCTTTGATAATTACTTAATTACTTACGAACAAGATCCACAAAAAGACCGATACTAAGCACATCCAACACATAACCGCGTCTTGTAACACAGGGTGAGGCATCAATACTCAGCCAGCTGGAGACGACGGTAGAGGCGTGGGCGGGCAGGAGGACCATGGGCGTGCGGGCGGGCAGTGGCAGCATGGGCGCGCGGGCAGTGTCAGTGGAGGCCCTGGGCGGGCACCACACCATGCCCGCCACAGAGTCGTCACGGGTGTGGCTGGTAGCTCCGGGTGTGCCCAATCTCGACCACATCCTCATGTACAGGAAAAATGAGGTGAGTTCACTCAGCTGGTAAGTCGTTATTAACAGCAGTAACAACATTTGTTTCGTAAATAATGAACAATATTAGAGGCCGGTAGTTGTAGTTGTGAGGACAATAACCGGAGTAGTGGTAGCAGTAGTTCCTTCCACTAGCAAGAAGTGAGTGCAGCCGTTTATTAGTACTGATAGTACTACTAATCGTGGCAGTAGTTGTAGTAATAGCAGCTGTGAATGAGATTGTATGACTATTGCTGGGTAGTATGTGAAGAACAGGTGTTGACAAACAAATAATAGCTGTAGCTGAGTAAATAATATCAGTAGTCATGATAATATTAGCGAAAGTTCTGGGAATAGTAGTAACAGAAGTTGTGATAATTGTAGCATTAGTCAGGGTAATAGTTGGAATAGTTGTGGAAATGGTGGCAGTACTTATGATAACTTTAGCAATAGTCGTGACAGCAGCAGTCGCGACAACAGAAGTAAAACCATAAGTATAATTCCAAGCGGAAGTTGAACACTTCATTAACCTAAACATCAAAGTCAAAACATTTAATATGCCTCATTTTTTATATCCTCATTTTATTAATAAATATATTTTGAAATACCTTATGTTTGTGCAATGTAGCTCATTCCTCTTGTCGCTGTGAGACAAGTGAACCATTAAAGCTAGATTTGCATGCATATTACTTGGCTTATTACCTTTTATGTTTGTAATTGAGTGTGACATACGAGAAGAAGTAACTTTCCGTCATATGCTCTCTCAACATTTTACTGTTCAAAGTTATGCATGTACGTCTGTGGGGCGGTTGATAGAATTCCTCTGAAGTTTCCAGGTTACTACATGCGTGTCGTGGGCTGATTATTCATTGGGTGAAATATTTTCTTCACAGCTGAGCGCCATTTTAGGAGTCAGTGTGCAAGAGGTCGGCGTCGGGACATGCCAGGAGGTCGTTCGTACAGTCGCTTTGGAGAACACGTACGAGAGCGAGAGCGAGGTCGACTACGAGGACCTGCGTGTCGTAGCCACCCAGGAGGCCGACGGGTGCGTGGACGGGTGCTGGGTGCGCGCTGCCCTTACTGACGGCTTCAGCATCATAGACGCCAACATCTCGGCGCTAGTGGGACCCAAGATGGAGGTGCGCACCACCTGTGGTTGTGGACACACCACACCTGCTACCCACGACACCTGCACCCCCTACACCTGTCTGAATGGTGGCAGGTGCATTCCAGCATCCTCAGGTACCAGGTGAGTTGCCAGTAACTGCCCACAACACATCCATGGGCACTAGGTGAGTTAGTGGCACATGTATCCTCAGAACTTTGTACAAGAGTGCAACATGTTTAAAAATATGCATATAATGGGGAAAGGCAATTATATGAGAAATGATAAAACAGCAGCAATTCCAACGTTGTCGCCACACATGTGCGTAAGTCGTATAGTGTGTTAACACCAGCCAAACTCTCGCCTTTGGTGTGATGAAACTTATATGTTTGATATATATATATATATATATATATATATATATATATATATATATATATATATATATATATATATATATATATATATATATATATATATATATATATATATATATATATATATATATATATATATATATATATATATATATATATATATATATATATATGTCGTACCTAGTAGCCAGAACGCACTTCTCAGCCTACTATGCAAGGCCAAATTTGCCTAATAAGCCAAGTTTTCCAGAATTAATATATTTTCTCAAATTTTTTTCTTATGAAAAGATAAAACTACCCATTTCATTATGTATGAGGTCAATTTTTTTATTGTAGTTAAAATTAACGTACATATATGACCGAACCTAACCAACCCTACCTAACCTAACCTAATCTATCTTTATAGGTTAGGTTAGGTTAGGTAGCTAAAAAAGTTAGGTTAGGTTAGGTTAGGTAGGTTAGGTCGTCGAAAAACAATTAATTCATGAAAACTTGGCTTATTAGGAAAATTGGGCCTTGCATAGTAGGCTGAGAAGTGCGTTCTGGCTACTAGGTACGACATATATATATATATATATATATATATATATATATATATATATATATATATATATATATATATATGTCGTACCTAGTAGCCAGAACTCACTTCTCAGCCTACTATGCAAGGCCCGATTTGCCTAATAAGCCAAGTTTTCATGAATTAATTGTTTTTCGACTACCTAACCTACCTAACCTAACCTAACCTAACTTTTTCGGCTACCTAACCAAACCTAACCTATAAAGATAGGTTAGGTTAGGTTAGGTAGGGTTGGTTAGGTTCGGTCATATATCTACGTTAATTTTAACTCCAATAAAAAAAAATTGACCTCATACATAATGAAATGGGTAGCTTTATCATTTCAAAGGAAAAAAATTAGAAAAAATATATTAATTCAGGAAAACTTGACTTATTAGGCAAATCGGGCCTTGAATAGTAGGCCAAAAAGTGAGTTCTGGCTACTAGGTACGACATATATATATATATATATATATATATATGTGTATATGTCGTACCTAGTAGCCAGAACGCACTTCTCAGCCTACTATGCAAGGCCCGATTTTCCTAATAAGCCAAGTTTTCATGAATTAATTGTTTTTCGACTACCTAACCTACCTAACCTAACCTAACCTAACTTTTTCGGCTACCTAACCTAACCTAACATATTATGATAGGTTAGGTTAGGTTAGGTAGGGTTGGTTAGGTTAGGTAGGGTTGGTTAGGTTCGGTCATATATCTACGTTAATTTTAAATCCAATAAAAAAAATTGACCTCATACATAATGAAATGGGTAGCTTTATCATTTCATCAGAAAAAAATAGAGAAAATATATTAATTAATGAAAACTTGGCTTATTAGGCAAATCGGGCCTTGCATAGTAGGCCGAGAAGTGAGTTCTGGCTACTAGGTACGACATATACATATATATATATATATATATATATATATATATATATATATATATATATATATATATATATATATATATATATATATATGTCGTACCTAGTAGCCAGAACGCACTTCTCAGCCTACTATGCAAGGCCCAATTTGCCTAATAAGCCAAGTTTTCATGAATTAATTGTTTTTCGACTACCTAACCTACCTAACCTAACCTAACCTAACTTTTTCGGCTACCTAACCAAACCTAACCTATAAAGATATGTTAGGTTAGGTTAGGTAGGGTTGGTTAGGTTCGGTCATATATCTACGTTAATTTTAACTCCAATAAAAAAAAATTGACCTCATACATAATGAAATGAGTAGCTTTATCATTTCATAAGAAAAAAATTAGAAAAAATATATTAATTCAGGAAAACTTGGCTTATTAGGCAAATCGGGCCTTGAATAGTAGGCCAAAAAGTGAGTTCTGGCTACTAGGTACGACATATATATATATGTATATATATATATATATATATATATGTATATATATATATATATATATATATATATATATATATATATGTATATATATATATATATATATATATATATATATATATATATATATATATATATATATATATATATATATATATATATATATATATATATATATATATATATATATATATATATATATATATATATATGTCGTACCTAATAGCCAGAACGCACTTTTCAGCCTACTATGCAAGGCCCGATTTGCCTAATAAGCCAAGTTTTCATGAATTAATATATTTTCTCTATTTTTTTTCTTATGAAATGATAAAGCTACCCATTTCATTATGTATAAGGTCAATTTTCTTTTATTGAAGTTAAAATTAGCGTAGATATATGACCGAACCTAACCAACCCTACCTAACCTAACCTAACCTATCTCAATAGGTTAGGTTAGGTTAGGTAGCAGAAAAAGTTAGGTTAGGTTAGGTTAGGTAGGTTAGGTAGTCGAAAATACATTAATTCATGAAAACTTGGCTTATTAGGCAAATCGGGCCTTGAATAGTAGGCTGAAAAGTGCGTTCTGGCTATTAGGTACGACATATATATATATATATATATATATATATATATATATATATATATATATATATATATATATATATATATATATATATGTATATATATATATATATATATGTCGTACCTAGTAGCCAGAACGCACTTCTCAGCCTACTATGCAAGGCCCGATTTGCCTAATAAGCCAAGTTTTCCTGAATTAACATATTTTCTCTAATTTTTTTCTTATGAAATGATAAAGCTACCCATTTCATTATGTATGAGGTCAATTGTTTTTTATTGGAGTTAAAATTAACGTAGATATATGACCGAACCTAACCAACCCTACCTAACCTAACCTAACCTATCTTTACAGGTTAGGTTAGGTTAGGTAGCCGAAAAAGTTAGGTTAGGTTAGGTTAGGTAGGTTAGGTAGTCGAAAAACAATTAATTCATGAAAACTTGGCTTATTAGGCAAATTGGGCCTTGCATAGTAGGCTGAGAAGGGCGTTCTGGCTGCTAGGTACGACATATATATATATACATATATATATATATATATATATATATATATATATATATATATATATAAATATATATATATATATATATATATATATATATACATATATATATATATATGTCGTACCTAGTAGCCAGAACGCACTTCTCAGCCTACTATGCAAGGCCCGATTTGCCTAATAAGCCAAGTTTTCCTGAATTAATATATTTTCTCTAATTTTTTTCTTATGAAGTAATAAAGCTACCCATTTCATTATGTATGAGGTCAATTTCTTTTAATTGGAGTTAAAATTAACGTAGATATATGACTGAACCTAACCAACCCTACCTAACCTAACCTAACCTATCTTTATAGGTTAGGTTAGGTTAGGTTGCCGAAAAAGTTAGGTTAGGTTAGGTTAGGTAGGTTAGGTAGTCGAAAAACAATAAATTCATGAAAACTTGGCTTATTAGGCAAATCGGGCCTTGCATAGTAGGCTGAGAAGTGCATTCTGGCTACTAGGTACGACATATATATATATATATATATATATATATATATATATATATATATATATATATATATATATATATATATATATTGAACTCACCAGCAACAGTGCCAGTGAGGGAGGCCCACCACCTTAACGGCCGGGGCGGGATGGGGAAGGGCGGGGGCGGAGGGAGGGGCGTGAGGGAAAGTGAACCTTAGAGTAAGGCGTCACTAAGAACACCCGCTCACCGGTCAGGCGGAGGAGGCTGGTAGTGGCCGTATTTCAAACTCCCCTCACCACCACACCACCCCACCACCTCCCTCGTGGGCTCAGTGAATGATAGTGAACAATTCCTGTCTGTTTAGTGTATACTTTGTGGCCCCGACATACAAAGTGAATACCATGCATATATAGTGCCATAGTGAAATAAACATCTCAAAGTGCCAACTCCGATACTCAGTGCCATACACACCACAAAGTATAAACCCCAGTTTATAGTGTCATACATATAACAAAGTGCCAACCCCATATTCCCAGTGTCATACATACCCTGGTGTACATATATATGAATGTATATTGTGTGTCATGAGTATAGCCCACTCGATACCACGCCTCCCCCCCCCAAACCGACCCCATCCCCCCCCCACCTCACTACCTGAGCTGACCCTCGCCCCACCGGCCCCCACACCTAGCCGCGGCCTCCACACCCAGCTGATGCCTCCACACCCAGTTGATGCCCCCACACCCAGGTGATGCCTCCACACCCAGCTGATGCCCTCACACCCAGTTGATGCCTCCACACCCAGTTGATGCCCCCCCACCCAGTTGATGCCTCCACACCCAGTTGATGCCCTCACACCCAGTTGATGCCTCCACACCCAGTTGATGCCCCCACACCCAGGTGATGCCTCCACACCCAGTTGATGCCTCCACACCCAGTTGTTGGCTCCACACCCAGTTGCTGGCTCCACACCCAGTTGATGCCTCCACACCCAGTTGATGCCTCCACACCCAGTTGATGCCTCCACACCCAGTTGCTGGCAGTTGCTTGGCCATGACCCAGGGTGTTTGCCCCCCCTCTATAGAACAATGCACAGTTTAACTCTCCCAACCGAGTTGAAATGGAAGGGGTCCCAGCGGTCGGGCAGGACTCCACAAGCCTTGAGGTGCCAACAACTGCTCCTAAAAGAGGTTTTTGCCGAGTATGCAACAAAAACACAGCAATAAACTCCAACGGTGGTGTTATCCGCTTTCACACCGTCAACGAGGTAAGATGCAGTGGTTCCCACC